CTGCCTCAGCCTCCTGAGTAGCTGGGATTACAGGTGCCCACCACTACGTCTGGCTAATTTTTTATATTTTTTGTAGAAACAGGTTTTACCATATTGGCCACGTTGGTCTCAAACTCCTGAGCTCAGGTGATCTGCCTGCCTCAGCCTCCCAAAGTGCTGGGATTACAGGCGTGAGTCATCGTGCCCGACCTAGTTATTTTTTCAAAAAATACTTATTGGTCACTGCCTGCCTGGTAGGCTCTGTACTAGATGTTCAGAACTAGGTATGGACAAACTTGATGTGGTTCCTGTCTTCATCAATTTGACAATTTAGCAGAATAATATTCCCCTTCATTGAAAACCAAATATAGGGCAACCTTACATTCTTTATTTTATTTTATGTTTGTGAGGTTGGTATTATTATCCTCTTATTAAGGAAGAGGAAACTAAGGCTCAGAGAATTTAAATAATATTCTCCAAGTTCACTCAACTAGCAACCTGGGCCCATCTGGCTCCAGAGTCATAGTAACCAAAAAGAGAAAACAATCCAAATGTCCATCAGCTAAAAACACTGAAATATACACATTTAAAGTGGTAAATTTTAGGGTAGGTGAACTACAGTTCAATAAAAATAATATAATCACAATTTAATGTATTAGGAACAACAGACCACTGAGTCCTGGCACACAGACCATTTGTTCTGCCATTTCATACTGTATAATTGAGGGGGGCAATAGAGCTCCCCGGGGTTGCTGTCTTCCCCTCAATAAATGCAGTTCCCTAAATTCTAAGCAGAAAAACCAAACAGGTACAAAAGAGCAAGAGCAAGCTTGGAAACTGAGGACCATCAAAGTGTCAATGCAGGTGGTATCGACCCTACTGTTGGACTTTTATCTGCTAGATCTGCTTAGCCTATTTTGACAACAGTCGAGAAGGCAAAGTTCGTAAATCACTTCTCTTCACCGGAAGGTTTACATTTCAACAGTGGATCATGGCACGTCCTTGGCACAGGGTCTCATTTCATTTGAATGACATCAGATTCACCTAGGTTTAAAAGAATTATAAAATCAATAAGCCACTGAATTGTAGAAATTAAGAACCCAAAAGGACTTTGGAGGGAGGTCATCTGGCCTGATTCTCTTATTTTGGTTAAATCTGTGGCTTACTCAAAATCACTTAGCCAAGCATGGCTGAGAGCTCTGGCTGTCTTGCAATATCAATCCTCCCCTTCTTTCTTGGAAATGCCACTCTCTTCCCTCTACCTTTCAGCTGTGGACATTACTGTCTAGTTGTCTGGAATAAAGGCTATATTTCCTAGTGAGGTGTGGATACATGAGTAAATTCTGGCCAGTGGGAAATAAATGAGAGTGGTGTGAATAATTCCTGGGACGTACACTTAAAGGTCAGGATTTGACATGGGGCATATCCTTCTTCCTTCCTGCAGGCTGGGCTGCAGATTTGATAGCTGGAGTTTAAGCAGCCATCCTGGACTATGAGGTGGAAGTTCTATTTGGAGAATGGAAGAGCAATAAGAATTCTGGGTCTCTGATAATTATAGAATTGTCATACCAGCTCTGGAATGTTAGTTGCCAGACTTTATGTGAAAGAGAAATAAAATTCTACTTTTTTCAACAATTGTTATTTCAATTCTCTATCATTTACAGTTGAATTGAATTCTAACTGATATAGAATGCGAACAAACAAGTCGAGTTGAGAACTCAGGTCTCCTGAATCCAAGCATGGTACTATTTATTATTATGTTTATCACTTTTACAGAATGTATTTATTTATTTCAGAGATGGGACCTTACTATGTTGCCCAGGCTGGAGTATAGTGGCTATTCATGGGCATGATCATAGTGAGCTGCAATCTCACTAAACTCCTAGGCTTAGTCTTAAACTCCTGGGCTCAGCCTCCTGAGTAGCTAGGACTATGGGAACAAGCCACGGAGCTGGAGTACCTTATTACCTTTTTTTTTTTTTTTTTTTTTTTTTTTTTTTTTTGAGACGAGTCTCACTCTGTTGCCCAGGCTGGAGTGCAGCAGCACGATCTCGGCTCACTACAACTTCTGCCTTTTGGGTTTAAGTGATTCTTCTGCCTCAGCCTCTCAAGTAGCTGGGACCACAGGCACCCATCACCACGCCCGGGTAATTTTTTTTGCATTTTTAGTAAAGATGGGTTTTTACCATGTTGGTGGTCAGCTGGTCTTGAACTCCTGACCTCAAGTGATCCACCCGCCTTGGCCTCCCAAAGTGCTGGGATTACAGGCACGAGCCACCATGACTGGCCATCGGTTACCTTATTAATTTTAATAACAAAAGCCAAACTGTGCTAAGTGTTTTGTATACAATAGTTGCTGGTAATTTTTGAGTCCTTAATATGTGATAATCACTCTTTAAAACTTTATAAATGTCACTAACTCATTTAATCCTCATGTCAAGTCATTAAAATAGGTCTATTATTATCATCAGTTCCATTTTATAGACAAAGAATCTGAGACACACAGAGGAAGAATAATTCACCCAAGGTCACATATTTAGTATGAGGTAGAGCTGAGATTTAAACCCTGGCAGTCTGGTTCCAGGGCCTGTGCTCTTTGCTCCTATGTTACACTCAAACTTATGATGGAAGCTTCTCATTAGCCTCTATACCCATTTTACAGAGGAGGAAACCGAAACATACACGTGTCTGATCATTTGCATAAAATCTGCTAGTCAATGCTGAAGCCAGAATTAGAAGCCAGATTCCTAACTCCCAGTCCAGTGCTCTCTCCTCAGACCATCCTGCTGTCTGAGGCCACCTGGGCAGACACATAATCCCCACCTTCTACCTCCGTCCCTCTCTCTCTCTCTCTCTCTCTCTCCTCTCTCTCTCTCTCTCTCTCTCACACACACACACACACACACGCACACACACCCCATCCAGCAGGCACCCAGACATTTTTGTGGCCATGATGGCTACAACCTCCTTTGAAAAGCAGCCAGCTTTGCCCTCCACCAACAACTTTGTTTTATTTATAGTCTCCTGCTCAGAGCTTTTGAACTGGCTGCTCATTCCAGGGAAAATCTTGATAACAACTGTTCCTTGGAGACGTTTCACAGGAAACAAGGTGAATAAACACCACAGAGCTCCTCTCTGTCTAGCAGAGCTTTGCTCCTAGGGGTGTTTACAAGTTGGCATGGTGTCTGGGTGCATAAGACTTTGAATTCAAAATGGCAATTTGGACATTTTCACTTTTTTTTTTTTGTTTTAATTTTAAAAAGTTTACCCTTTGCCTTCAATAACCTCAAGGCAGAGACAAAAGAGAGAAACTATCTTTATCCCGTAGGTGACTCCAACAGAAATTTTTTCTATGACTTACCTCCTTGCTTTCTTTGCTGCCAGCTTGGCCAGGACCTAGGATGCAGGACTGGTTACATAGTGGCTATGGGGTGGTGGTAGGGTGGGGAGGCACTCCACGCATTTATAAAAAACTGAAATGGCAGAAGGGATGAATGGCATTTCAGGACAGAAAATTGCAAAAAAAAAAAAAAAAAGTAAAAGGAAAGGCTAATATTGGCCGGGCGCGGTGGCTCACGCCTGTAATTTGGGAGGCCGAGGTGGGTGGATCACAAGGTCAAGAGATCGAGACCATCCTGGTCAAAATGGTGAAACCCCGTCTCTACTAAAAACACAAAAAATCAGCTGGGCATGGTGGTGCGTGCCTGTAATCCCAGCTACTCAGGAGGCTGAGGCAGGAGAATTGCCTGAACCCAGGAGGTGGAGGTTGCGGTGAGCCGAGATCGCGCCATTGCACTCCAGCCTGGGTAACAAAAGCGAAACTCCGTCTCAAAAAAAAAAAAAAAAAAAGAAAAGGCTAATATTAAAAGTGTCTGTCTTTGGACTTGTGGCCAAAGATGCCACCCTAAAGCATAACTATGTCACACGTGTCTGGAATTATTCCGTCTGAACACTGATCTTGGCTTCACCAGTTGCTACTTATGTGACCTTGGGAATGTGCCTCAGTTTCCTCTTTGTAAAACAGGGATGAACACAGGATTATTGTGAGGATTGTTACTATTGATGTGCAGATATACTGTATCTGATTCAGAGAGGGCACTTGCCCACATTGACAGCTACCATTAAATGTCGCTAATGGAGCTGTCATTAGCGCTTTCTTTATGATCCCTCTGGGCCTAGAGGGGATGAAATTGAGGTATTCATGGAAGTGAGCCCTGAGGGGAATGAAATTGAGGTGTTCATGGAAGTGAACCCTAAGGGGGAGCAGGGGTAGGTAGCAGGTTGGTGATCTACGCTCTGAAATCCTTTCATTTGCATTGAGTTAATCTCTATCAGAGACTGTTGTGGCAACAGGAGCCTTCCATATTGCATTCCCCAAAGTGGCTGATAAAGGGAGGCAGAGGTCCTTAAGGGGGGGCCAGAGCTGAGCCACCACGTGGGTCCACGAAGCCCCCAGATGGCTTTTCTGTAGGTGTGTGGGGTCTCCTTCAAGGTCTAAGGGGAAAGGAAGAGGAAAGAGCTTCAGGTGGGGAAGTGGACAATATGATGCAGAAGAGGTTCTGCACAGAACTTACTGGAAGGTGCGGGATGTTAAAGGGAAAACGTGTTTTCATGGAGGCCTGGGCGGGAGACATTAGCTTTCTGTGAGAAGGGCTAGGTGAGACGCCTCCAAGGAGAGGATGGGTGACAGTTTCTTTGATGGTCTCCATGGGAGGTTAGGGTCTCTTCAGGGCGGCTGCGAGTGGAGGTTTCCAGCGAAGCACACTGCGGTGGAGCTGTGTAAGGGCCTGCACAGAGTGGTACGCCCGAGTCCTCCGGCGCCGGCGCCCGGAGAGACGTGCGGGTGACCGCGCTCCCGCCCCGCCCCGCCCTCGCCCTCGCCCTCGCCCTCGCCCTCGCCCACCGCCGCTCCGCCGCCCCGCCCATGCGAGCGGACTACACTTCCCAGCAGCCTCCGCGAGGCAGCGGCGGCGGCAGCGCGGGCGGGAAGGGCGGCGGTGAGAGGCGGAGGGGGCGGCGCGCGCCGGGTACGCGCGCCGGCGACCATGGCGTTCGCCGGGCTGGAGCGAGTACATTAACCCCTGGAGGCGGCGGCGGCGGCGGCGAGGGAGCGAGCCTCGAGCGGGCGGGCCCCAGCCTGAGGGAAGGGAGGAAGGGGCGGGGAGAGCGCCAGAGGGAGGCCAGTCGGCCGCGGGCGGGCGGGCAGCGCAGCGCCGAGCGGGGCCCGCGGGCCCATGAGGAGGCCCGGGGACCATGGGCTCCAGGATCAAGTGAGTGCGGCCGGGCCGGGCGGAGCCGGGCCGGGCGCGGGGCGGCGAGGCCGGGCCACGGCTGGCTGCAGGCCGCGGGCCGCGCGGGGGACTTGTTGCCGGGACCGGAGGGGCGCCCCGCGTGCCAGCGTCACGCGGGGAGGGGGACGGTTGCCATGGCGATCCAGGGAGGCGCGGGCGGCGGCGGGGTGCGCGCGGGGTGGCAAAGCCCCGGGGGCCAGGTGTCCCCTCCTCACCTGGGGGCCGGAACAGCTGAGATTACAGGGCGGCCCCCTCCCCGGGTTTACGGAGAGCCCCTGAAAATGGTCCTTCAACTGTGGGTAGGGGGAGTAGGAAAGCCCCGGAAGCACCTCACCAAATGGGCATGTCTGGGGCTCCCCTGAGAGTTGGCAGGTCCCGAGAGGTTGCAGCCTGGCCGCTTGAGGCCTGCGGCCCCCACAGAAGGCGCGTGAGATTCTCAGAGGGAGGGGCCATTTATGGATTTAAGATGTGGATAGTCGGGGAGGAAGGCCCGTCTCTCTCCTATTTCCCCCCGCTTATCCGTGAAAATCTCCACGCAGCGAGGTCCAAAGGCTGTAAAGGAGGATACCTCCGTGTTGTAACCGAGCACCTGATCTTGATAATCGTTGGAAAGGCTTTGTAATTCAATCTGGCGAATTCCCTCACTCATTCATTCACCTGGAGTTCCCGGTGGAGGCTTAGCTTTCCAGGGAAATTGTTAATACATCTAACTTCAGAATCCCCTGAAACATTGTTGCCCTCCTTGTAAAGACTTAGAAGTTGACTTTGGAAAGTTCAACTCTTAAGCCGTCCAATTTGGGTGTGTGGCTTTGGACTCTATCTCCCCTTCCAGCCAGGTCCTCTTGTGGCCTCTCCCTTCGTCTGCCCCAGAACTTGAGATGTTTTATCTCTAATTACTAACAAATGTTCACTTTTTCTCTGTGACTAATTGTTTAAGGGCATTGAAAAACAAGTTGACAACATAGGCTTTTCTGTAAAACAACTTTCCTAGTACACTTTAAACCCTCTTACAGGAAAATCTGTGGAATGTGTTTATTTCAGCGTTTTGAGAATTGTACTAGGGAAGTTTGAAAGAAGGGCCTTAAGGGCGAAATCTAACAATTATTCAAACATGGCATCTCATGTCCAGGTGATGCCCGTGCAGTGTGACCCTTGCCCAGCTGTGCAGTCAGCTGTGTGATTAGATGTCTCATTTACAAAATATGTATGAGATAGCTGCAGCAGCCCTGAGACATCTGCTAAATGAAACTAGAAAAGTTTGCTTATGATAATAAAAATGAAAGAGTTGCATGAGCACTCTGTTAAATCTTTATTTGTGTGGAAATGAGGAAAAAGTTAGAAGCATGCTCCAAACAAGAGGTTGAGAGGCTTGGGAGGTAAAAAGATGTAGTTTGTAAAACATTGGGATTAAAGAGGCACTCAAGCGTAGTTCCTGCTTCCAAGTAAGAGTTGTAAACTTGGATTTCAATAGCACTTAGAAACACTTTCCAGAAGCCATCTTAGAGTTGCAGAGTATGCGTGAGGACCCTTCTTGTTACAGAAAAGTTCAGAAACTTGCCTAACACGAGGCAGTGAGTATCTGAACCAGCATTAAAATCCAGCCAGTAAAAGTTCAGATGGCTAGCCGTCAGATCTCTGTTGCTCTCCAAGGTAGCGGGTTGACAAATACATTTCTCAAGTGTGTTTTGTGGAACCCATCACAAATTCTGAGCACTTGGACAAGGGAATTTACAAAGGCATGGAATTAAGTGTGAAATGAGTATGAAGAATATCCTTATTGATCTTGAAAGTAGACTATGCTGTGATAAAAACTTAGGCTTGGGAAATATGTTAGCTTGTGGTGAAACCGAAAAAGATGGAGAGAAGCTATGAAAAGCAGTTGTGATTTATAGTGACTGTTGATTATGCAACTTCTGCTTGTAGCTAGGAATGGGGATGGAGAGGAAATTGCCCACTTAAGTGCTCCTCTAGTTGGAGAAAACAGAGCTTTGCCTGCTACTGGTTGGCTATTCTCTCCTAGCAGGGCATTCAAGGTGTTCTCCTGGCTGTGGTGAAACTAAGTGTGCAGGTTACATTGAATAGGACAGTCTTGGAAGCAGGGGACGGGTTGCCTTTGTTTTCTCTTGCTTATCTCTGATGTAGCAAGTCAGTTGACTAGGTGGAATCAGATCTAGGTTCAAATTCCAGCTCTTTTTAATGCTAATTATGAAACTTCACACAGACTGCCTTTTCAAACTCAGTTTCCCTGAAGGTAAAATGGGGAGGACTGTGTCCAGGTTATAGGGTTATTATGAGCAATGAACACAGTATCGATATAAATGCCAGGTCGATATTAAAAACTCAGTAATTGTTAGGTTTTTTCTTTTTTCATCTTCTGTATCAAAAGACTAAGAACATTACTGTATATGAGAAATGTCAGAGAAAGGTATGTTTAAGGTAATGGAAAAGAAAATTTTAATGATCAAGGAATTAGACTGTTAACATGCAGAGTAGGACTTAACATTGTCTCATTATTAAAAATAAAAGTTGATTAAAAACAATATTGTGTGCAGTTGTGAAGCTGATGTCTGTTGTGTGATCAGTGGTAAAGCACGTGAGTTGCTAGGCACAGGTGTTGAGATTTAGTGTTTGATCAGACCTCTTTCAAGCTTAAGCCTGGTTGAACACAGTCTCTGTCAGGTACCATGGAAATCCTTAGTGTGAACCATTTCATGAAACTCTCACTACTGTCCAGTGGTGGTGATGCTATTTATTAACCACATTTTTCAAATGAGAGAATGGGAGTTTATAGGCCTAAGATCAGATGCCAACCCCCGGAAGCCTGCCTTGATGCCAGTTTCCTGTTGCCATCCCCACCCCCACCTGTTCCAGTCTAGGCCAGGTGCCCTTCCTCTGTGTTTCTGTGGCCCCTCGTGTTTATCGCAGTCACAGTGCTAAATCTTGTTTCTTGTCTGTCTCCCATACCATGCTGGACATAAACTTCTTGAGAGCAGGGACTGTCTTTGAGTTCCCTGTATCAAACTCAATGCCTGGCACATGCTTGTTTAAGAAGAGTTCATGGAATGCATTTAAGAAATATGTTAGGATCTACATTAAGATCCTAATTAAGACTCTGAGTTCTCCGAGTTGAGCGTACATCGAGTTAAAAAAATTTAAACCCTTGAAGAAGAGTTTTGTATTTTATACATTTTTAAGGCAAATTGTACTGGTTTAGGCAGGCCTTTCCTTTTAGTAGGGTATTTAGTTCATGTTCTTCTTTTTTTTATTGAGATGAGAGGGAGTTTTGCTCTTGTTGCCCAGGCTGGAGTGCAATGGCTTAATCTGAGCTCACTGCAACCTCCACCTCTCGGGTTCAAGTGATTCTTCTGCCTCAGCCTCCCGAGTAGATGGGATTACAGGCATGTCCCACCATGCCTGGCTAATTTTCTGTTTTTAGTAGAGACAGGGTTTCTCCACGTTGGTCAGGCTGGTCTCCAACTCCCGACCTCAGGTGATCCGCCCACCTCAGCCTCCCAAGGTGCTGGTATTACAGGCAGGAGCCACCGCACCCGGCCTCATGTTCATTTTAATAAAAGAACATTGTCTTGCCTCAAATTCAACAGCTAATGGACAAAAAAAGAAGGTCACCAGTATGTAGGTAGCACCCTGGAAACCTAAATCTTAAACCTTTGTGGACATTTATCTAGAAGAATAAAAAGAGCAGTGGTAACTGACAATCTTCGACAGGTATGTTTAAATCTTATTTACTGTTTGAATGATCCCAGTGGACTGGAATGTGGTTACTATGAAGCAATTTAACTGATAATGCAGACACACAGCAGGAAACTATGTGGCAGTTTAATATTGCTTGTGGTGACATCCTAGAAATTGCTTCCAGGCACCAAGTGCAGGAAGTGGGTTGTAAGTAATCGAAGGAAGTTTTCTAAGTGAGTTTGAAGAAACCTGACATTTATGGACTTAGAGAAAAGCATATTCTAAGATTTGGAGGCATAGGAACAGGGCAGGGCAACTAATTTGGCCTTGTGGTAGTGATTATTCTCATTAGCCTGTGTACCTGTCTTCTGTCTCTGTCAAACTGTGACCTCTGAGGTTAGTAACGAAGAAATTTATCCATTTATTCATCCATTCACCTACTATAGAACTAAGAATATTAAGCATGTATTAAATATTAAGAATAGTCTTAAACTAAGAATATTAAGCCAACATGTTAGCCATTATTACCATAATTAGTAGTAATACTGTGCCTAGCATTGTGCTAATTATTAGGGACACAAAGATGAAAAGTATTTTTCTTTAAGGCTTTCTAAAGTAGTGGAAACAAATGTAAAACAAAAACAACCCCCTTCAGATTCCCTCCCTACCAAAAAGAAAAAACAAAACCAAATATAATACAGTATAAGTTAATTGCAATGGTGGAGATGCCGCGGGTGATGAATAGGTGAGTAGGTGAAGAAGAGACTGTCTTCTAGGGAAAAGCGTGGGTCTGGAAAGGAAGGCTTCACCAAGAGATCATGTTTCAGCTGAGACATGGGTAGGGGTGGGTGGTTAGCAGAGGGAGTGGAGGCAGTAGTGATGGTGGTGGTATCAGCAGAGGAAGCAGTACGTATGAGGACGTGGCATATTAGAGAAATAAAAATAGGATCATTTGTTAGGCACTTTAAATGCCAGGAATTGTGTTAGACATTGAGAATTACAATGGTGAACAATACATATTCACTCCTCATGGTGCGTACAGTCTTGTGGACCTGACATGAAAGAACCAAGTAAATTCACAGAAAGCTTATGCGGATGTTTGGAAGCACACGATGCCTCTGAGAGAGAGTGATTGGAGTGACTGTCCTATTTTAGATAGAGTGGCGAGGGAAGGCCTCACCGTGGAGATGACATTTGAGCTGAGACTTAAAGGATGAGGAGGTATTAGTCATCTAAAGAGACCAGGCAAGTCTTTTTATTCCAGGCAAAGGATAGAGCATACCCAA